TATTTTTGAGCCATAAAATTGCCGTTTCCCGAGAATAAGACTAGGAAATTGTATATGGGCATTCCAGAGGAAAGAGATGCACCGTGTTTAAAGAAATACAGCGTCCATAGCAATGCTAGTCTTTTCCTATATTACACGTAGCAACCACAGTTAGGGTGTACATCGTTTTGAGGATGTTGCAGGGAAATTATGTCTTAGGGAATCTTCACTCCAGACAGCGTACATAAACACCAGAACGGCATGAACAAAATCTTTCTGCATGAAGAGTAACTGACGTTTTGCATTTCCTGCAGTGAATTTTCGAATGAGTCAACAGTCGCAAGTTAACATTTACATTTTGACACCAATGCAAGTGAAATTTTCTAGCGACTGACTAGATTAAAGTCAAAGGTTCAAATTTCAAGTTGTTAAAAAAATTTGAAAGGAAATGTATTTACGTGCTTAAACATCCCGCTTTTATTTTTAGTGACGCCAACGTTTTTAATAGAAAAATTGGTGGTAGCCCCGCACAACCACCGTTTATCAGGTAACCCACTTACATGCACATGTGTAGTGATTTTCACGCAAACAGATTAACAAAGTCGTTGAAAGCTTCTACTATTACAAAGGAAACAGAACCTTAAATTGAGTGACCACACTCAGTCTTACACTGTTTTGTTGGGATAATTTCTCTTTGAATTACACTGTTACCGATACTACACTAACTTTCAAACCCGCACATAATGAAAACGCTTAAATCCTTCTTGATCCATGAACATCCTTCCGATTTACTTACGTTTTTCAGTATTAAGTTCGTCTGGTCTAAAATGGCATTGTGTTCTTCGGTGTCCAGCTCAAATTCCGTTGTCTCCACCTTCTGTAGGTCTGTGAGGTTGTCATTCATGTTGGCCATATTCTCAATCTGTGGAGGAAAAAGGACGATAAGCGTCCGAAAGTCCTGAGCCATGTGCGACTTTCGTTACAGAAAAAGACATGCCTGAATAGGAAGTTGCGGCTGTTTCAGAAACAGTCTAATTAACTATTTTGGTTTCTTCTAGGTGGAAAATTACAGACCGATAGCTATCAATTCTCTGGGGATGAATGATTTAGAAAGTAAGATAAACGTTGGGAGGGGTTGGATAAATCTGAAAGGGAGTGTTACAGTAGACGGATAATTCCGAGCAATTATTCAACGCTGGTTTACACAACAGTTGGCTGATCAGTTTTTCATTGTGGCAAACCGTAGGTCATCTCCTAAAGTATTTTGCGTCCAGAAGACTAGCCTGGGCAACCAGGTTTCATCGAACGGGCACCTGGAAAGTCCATTAAGCAAGAAGCAGGAAGCAGTATAGTGATTTCTCCTTTTCACCTTCTACGTAGCGCTATCTGAGGACGTGCATGTAGTATCTTCAATTAACACTAACTAGCTTGCTTCATCTAGATTGCTGAATAGGGGGAGGTCGAGGGTAGATATCCTCTCCGAGCTGGCCATGGTCGGCAGCCGGTCTTTGCCTTCAGCCTCATAACTGAGTCTGGCGAAGCAGCACCTGCTCTTTGGAGGCAGCAAAGTTGGACAAGAAGTCGTGCCTTAAACAGCCGTTTGGGTCCTCAATGGGGAATATCACCGATGAAAATACTTTGGCCCAAAGGCAGTTCTTCTCTGCAATACTTTGCATGATTTGCTGCTGTGTTTTCTGAATGTTCGGGATGACAAAAAATTTTAACTAACTAGTTTCCTTCATAATATTTTGGATTTTATCCAATCTTTAACTAGAAATTACATCAAACGCTAGTCGGTAGATCTTTATCCTGGCTCCGATGACAAACACCGAGTTCCATGTGATGTTTCAGGTTGGGCGAGCGAAATCTATTGCTTTTCATGCATTGTCCCGAGAAGTTCACCCATTGATGCGTCTTTGAATTATTCCTTAATGTATCCGTCTTCGTAAAGTACGGGGATGTGGGACAGATTCCGCCTCCATTACAAGCCTAATCCGCCAATGCGCCTTATACGTCAACGGTGCTATCGGTATAAATCCGGTTTTATAAGACATGATTCCAACTGTCTTGCCTCCATTTTTAAATTTCCAAAAAGTATCGCATAAGATCTAAGCCTACAATTACTTTCCTTGCCTATATGTATAGTTGTTCGCCAAATACGACCTCTAAATTCAAGGTACACTTCAATTATAATTAACACGACAGGTCTGTTGGAATTTCCACTTTCTGTTTGAAGTTTTCTACATATTTGCACACTTTAAAGATGATTCTGTCGAAAACAGATCGAGGAAACGTAATGCCGCACGTAACGAGAACATGGTTATCCCGTTGAAAATGACTTTTCATCGCTTATTAATATAACTGTGTTAAGTCAAATACACTTCAGCATGCTTTTTTGAATTTTAATAAGTTTCGATACCGAAATCTGAGGTCTAACGCAGTGCAAATTCTATATCTACGATGAGCCATCCGAAACGCCTTTTTTTAGAATTCCGGATTGCGGATTTTCACATGTTCTAGAGGTCCGAGTCCAGGTTTAGTTGGGAAAGTGGCTACTTTTAAGGTAGTCACCTCACTGTATTTCTGCATGTTTTCATGAGCTTAGACTGTTTCTCTCGTTCTACTAACATTCGAGATTATTAGCCTGAATATGGCCTCATACTATCTTATATAAATCGATATAAATCATAGTATTTTCTTCGGTCTAGACATCTAAATATCTTTATTTGTTTCGAGATGCGGAAACTTCTCCATGTTTGCTCTCTGGTGAGGGCATCTATTGCTTGATGGTTTCTCAAGTACTGGAAGCAAACATTTGTCGTTATTGATTTTATTTTGGACGCCCTCCGTGAAAGTAGACATTTGATCGCATCCTTACTCTACTTTTTTCATATTTTCCTTAAAAAAGCGTTTCTTCCTGTCGGTCAAATTTGATGTGCGAACAGCAAACTCAGGGGCCAAATTCCAAGGCTCCGAACAATTAAATAGATATAGAAGAGAACCCACTGAGCGGCGTCCTTTCTAGTAAAATTTAGTCCCGCCACATTTATTTTCCCTTCCAGTGTAAACTAACTAGAACATTGCAGAGATGTTACTAGAATTTATCACAATAATTTTGTTGTGAACACGAATTCGAATAAATGTCTGTTTCAAAAAATAACAAATGATTAAAATTTATCTTTGTCTTCGCATATAGACTTTACCCTAGCTCGAGCAGGTCAACGCTCCGTTAAAGTCTGCCAACGTCTAGAACAAATCATTTAGGGCACAATTTTGCAGTTCTAAGCTGTAGAAAGAGTACTATTAGGTCATTTTCTGTCATGAGGTGGCTATACTCTACAGGTTGGCCTGGAAGACCCATTGCTTTAAGTGACGTCATAAAGTATTTGAGCTTGACGGTCTATACTATGCTTCATGTCAGAACTCTGAAGAAAACCAAAGAGGCATAGCGGCGCCTGCAGAGAAGAGCAGAGCAAAAATTATAAATCAGGTAAAAACAAATTAGAGTAGTCACATACTCACTTAAACGACGAAATAAGTTAAAATCAGGTGAGTGGCAACATTGTGCCCGTTAAGTCAAATATGTCAACAAACAGACGGTGGCTCAAGCTGAGTTACATGGTGAGCCGCCTCCCTCCCATGATACTTAAAATCGTGTCTTTCAAACAATGAAGGACAATACTTTTTCGAGTGAAAAATTGGAACCTATTAGGTCGGAATAGATTTATTTTGCACAGAATAAACTGCCTACCAAGAAGGATTTCCAATTTGCTCACAAACTTTTTTGGTTCTTGCGGGCTATCTTACCAAGTCTCTGCTATGTGGCCTGTTGCATTTATGCACGTAGACTATATAACAAGTAGAAATAGTCGCCTACGTTTCTGTTGGGTAGGTTGTACTAGTTAATATTTAGCGGAAAATGACAGAGAACGTGCTAAATTGAGAGAATGGGAATTTCAACGATTAGGAGACATGTTAAGTTTTATGTTGGAAAATAACTTAGGTAGCTAAATTCCAGTGAAGATGATTCAAACGTTAATAAATATTTCTGGGCGAAAAGTAGGGTAAAGGGTGAAATAAGCGTTTTGTCAATTATCCCCCCACCATGATGCACCGGGTACTTATTTTAACCACTGAGAATTGAACGCAGTTAAACTCAGAAGCAACTAATGGAAAAATTGAAAATGAGTTGAATTTATCTGTACCCTCAATTTTTAGAATCTATCAACCGAGCTACGGCAGCAATAACGATATTTGACTCCGGAAGTTTGCACGAGGACACTATAAGTGACGGAAAATCGATACGCCCAGTGATTGAGTTGTCATCGAACCTTCAATCATTTCCCGGTCGGTTTCCCTTCCACTTGACGATTAAAATTTGGACTGTGAAATTGAAGTACTAGCCCGCCTCGAAAGTGCCGTTGCCGACTAGAAGCAATGGGACACAGAGTCACACAACCCCTTTGTGTTCATGTATCACGATCGCAGCTTCCGCCTATTAAAAAAAAACAGCTTATATCTCCGACTACTTCACTCGGAATAACTATCCGAAAGTCTCCATAACGTACGAACGCTTTGTCCGTTCCCATAGAACCCAAGCCAGTCCTTTAATTTCGCAGTCTCAAAGGTAATCACCAAGCGGAGTGTAAAACAGGTCTCGACGCTTAAACTGATCTCGCGCACTCCCAAATTTGCAAGACTGATCGGACATTGGATCACTGTCCCAATCACCTAAATTGCTACTAATTTGATTCAGTAGAAATGAATTAAAAATATTAGTGACTTGCAGCGGATTTAAGCCGCTCTAATTCGGCTACTATCTGCTCCTTTGTTGAAGTGAGTGTTTCCACATCCTCCCTCTGCTGTTTCATCATCTCTTCCTCGAGCCATGTTGGGTCTTGTGATTCGCTTTCCTCTTCGACTTCCTCAAAGTCCTTTGGAAGGAAGGCTTCGAAAGACATTACGGACTTCTGTCTCTGGATTTGCCTAGTTCCAACGCGTCCTCCT